CCTACAAAAAGAAGAAAAAAAAAAAAAAACTTGAATGCAAGTTGACATGAACCTCTTTCCCGGAGCGTACAGACACAGAATAGAAGTTTTGCACGTTGCAAAAAAAACAAAAAAAAGATTCCAAAACCTCTGCCATAGAATAAGGAGCAAAGCATAAATTTGGCATTCAAATATCAAGTGCAAGTATAAACAGTGGAGAAAACTCCTTGGCCATGTTCCAATGGTTCGAGGAACTCCCAAGAAGATTAAAGAATTAATTATCCACAAAAAATAAAATATCCACAATTCTATAATATTATGAACTTCAAAGCAGAGTCAACGACCAACATATTCATTCTTGGGAGGATGCCTGAGCTGACTGGGCCTCATTCTCCTCCCTATTCCTCGACATCTATGCTTCTTCATCTAAGAATGGGCTTCCATAGCAACGTCTAGGACTGTTGAGTGCCTAGTTTGGGATTTGGGGTGAGAAGAAAACTTTTTGACAGAGAGCTAATCAGTAGTGATATGTTTACTAAGAAGTTTGATTTGTTCCAATTAAAAGAGAGTCAATACATAATATTTTGGCACTTCGAGAATAGAGGTACATTCTCATCTAATTTGATTTCTGCGCATGATACACTTACTAAGTCTAACTCCATTTGAGAACCCCCTTGGCCAACCGTATTTGAAAATTCAAAATCCATAATAAAGTTAAGGCATCTCTTTGGTTGCTCTCCTATAGAAGTCTCAATACTACCTTCAAACTACGGGGCAAATTTTCTCACTTGGCCTAGCACCCTCGGGTTGCTACTTTTGTAGGACAGGTGGTGAATCCATAGATCACGTTTTTCTTCATTGCACTTTGTCTTTTAAGGATTTCTCCCTTCTCTTTTATGAAATTGGTTTGTTGGTATGTGAACGCTTTGCTTTTGAAGATTCTTGAAAGCATAAGATTCAAAGGCAAGGCTAAGTTACTTCAGAACTGACGATTAGAACTCGCCTCTTAACTTAGTGGAAAGAGAGGAATCACAAGATTTTTAAGACTGTTTCTGGAGGAATTCCTTTGTAACCGTGCACAACATACTTCGTCGTTGGTGTACTAACATTAAAAAATTTACTTTAAAAAATCCCCCCATTTCTTTACTTTTTTATAAAATAAAAAATCCTTTTTGGGGATAAGAAACTGAGACTATATTGAAGAAAGATACGATGACCAAAAAGACCAAAGGGTGCAAAGAGATAATTCAGACCCAAAACTCCTCCGAACTAGAACAAGTCTCTTTGAAGACCCTCTATTTTCTCTCGAGCCAAATCCTTCAAAATGTAACCATAACAACATTAAACCACAAAACACTAGCTTGCGCTTTGAACGAGTTCCCATAGATTAGTTGGATAAGACCCCTACCATTTCCATTCAAAAAAATGCCAATGAATGCCAAAGAGCTTAAATAATCTGGCCCAAATGTCTCCAGAAAAGGCACAAAGGGGAAAGAGCTGCACTTAATTTCCACACACCAGCTAGAAGATAAGCAGAGATGAGGGTTCTTGTTGAACTTACTTTGAATACACACCCAACAAAATACTTTCGCCTTCTTTGGCACCTTAGCTTACCCAATGATGTCTCACCCAAACTTGGGTGAAAAGAGGCAAAATTAATAGAGAGAGCTGGAACCAGAGAATTAGCAGAAAAGCGACCACTGTGATGGAGAGTTTAGCTTTAAACAAGTTCACCACAGTGACGCATGAGCGTGATAGATAAGTAATCAAAAATTGTTGACAGAGAAATAAAACTTGTCCAATATCTTGATTCATACCCTGGTTACCAAATTTTGAAAGGGAATATGCCCTCGTGAAGTAGCCAATAAACAATGGGATAAATCGACCACCCTAATTCATAATAAAACAATATGAGGTAGGACCTGACTGACTTATCCTTGCATAGGTATAAAAAGATCTCAAGCTTAAGAATGCAATATCTCAACGTGTTCACTGATACGTTATAACCCCTAACAGAAAATCTTTGTAGAAGCACCAGCTTGGTTTGCTTATTACCAAAATTAAAAATAAAAAGAAAGAACTAAAGAAATTCGGAATTCCTGCCTCAAGAAACAACTAGATAGTTGGCTCGTCTTTCCAGTGAAAGCATAAGCAAAACTATATCAACCATCCAACACATACTCCTCTACCAAAAATCTTCATAAGCAATTCTACTACCGGAGTTCAGTTTACAGGACAAAATGGAGCAATATATTCACTGCTACCACACAACGTGCAATATAGTTCATCCATAGATGCGGATTAAAAACATGCCACGTATTCAAATCATAGAAAGTCAACGACGTACCATTACTGGGAATCCCACTACAATTGCTCCGGCAGCACTAACTATCACAGCCAAAGCAGTGAACGCCACAGTGCTAAAAGCATCCGAAACCATACCCATAACATAAGCACCAGCTCCTGCTGCCCCTCCAAGCATAGTTGTAGTTACAAGAAGGTAATTCAACGGCAGTGGCACCTGAATGTAGCGCCCAAAAGAGTGGAAAATAACTCTAATTTCCAAACAGATAACTACAACAACTAATGCGACAGCGCCATTAGCGACCCGAATACTGTGCAGCTGATTGGCATCTTTAGTGACCCACCAAAGTGCACCCCTCGTCGACGCATAGAGTTGAAAGACAAATGGAATGAAAAATAAGAGTAGCAAATCACAAATGGAAGCCGCGGAAGAAAATACCACCGAGTGATGAGATGCAATGTGGAAAAGTAGAGGGACAAATAAAAGATTCAAGGTGTGAATGCAGCTCTCCAAGGGACCAAGTATCAAATTATCGGCAGGGATCTCTCCACCATGAAACTTCGCTTCTTGCTTGTTCTTGAACGACGACAGGCGAGGAATAGAATAAAGCCAGTAGAAGATGCAATTGAAGCCCATGAGATAATAAGAAGCATTGAGCATGCCTACGGCCGATATAGTCGCCCAAGTAAACAGAGCGGAAGCAGCAAACGGCACACAAGCGAACAAGAGGCGCTCGAGAGCAAGGACGATAGAGGGGTTTTCGATCTGAATCCACTTGAACTGAAGCGAAGCCCAGGCACCAATCAAGAAATTGGTCTCGGCGCAAAGGAAAGCAGCGAGGATCGCGAGAGGAATAGAGTTGAAAGTGAGATTAAAAGAGGAGCTGAAGAAGAAAGCAAACTGAGAAAAAACAAGAGAAAACCAAACACCAAAAAACGCACCAGGCTTGAAATTGAGGGAATCAAGGATATAAGAAATCATAAGGCCGATAGTCAATGTCACAATAACGGGGGTGCCGCCAAGGTCAAGAAGGAAGGCAGCAGAGGGAACAAGGGCAATGGCAATACGCGGGTTGTAGATGAAGGAAGAAGGCGAGAATCGAGAATTCTTGAAAGATCTGGAGGGAGAGGAAACTGAAGAAGAGGAAGAAGAAAAACCGTGACGATCGAGATAGGCACTAGGGTTTTGGTCGTAGGGGCTGCCATTGCCGACGGAGGAGAAGGAGGGGGCACTAGTGGAGGCGGAGATGTGAGGACGAAACGAACGGGACTGGAGCTCCGGCGGCATCATTTTGAGAGGTGGAGGATGACGGTGAGTTTGAAGTCGAAGTGGGCGTCAGCGCCAACCGAAGACGGAAGTGATCTCTCTCCGGTGAGCTTCCTTGGAGGGTTAATTCTGGCTAAACCTGACGTGTTCCAACAAATTGCATCCGTCCGATCTCGTTTCCACTACGCCCGTCTGTTTCCTGTGGACTATGGTCTTGCTTCCTTCCCTCTCTTCAAAAAATTCAATAACTTCCAAAAATATTCTTCAATCTATTCACCACACTCAAATCATTTGAGTTATACCTTATTTGAATTAACATTTACAAATTTTTATTTTATACACCAAATAATTTGAAAACTCCATCAAACTAATGGTGAAAAGCTGACAATAAAACAACCCAACTTTCAAAATTAGCTATAAACAAGTCCAATCATAAAGATCTAAACATGAACCAACGATACTTGACCCAAATAATATAAATTGGGATTGACTGATTCAAGAATGTTGAACCGAACCACGAAGCGATGTGAATCAATTTCTTCAATCGTCGTAGTAACCCTACTCATCTTACTGACTCGATGACAGTAGTTTGTGCCACCATTCTTTTCCTCGATAGATATTTGTAAAACAATATAAATATATATATATATAAATAGAATATATTTGAAAACTACCAAATTATAGTTTTAAGTAATTTGATAAAACATCTATTACCTAAATGTTTCGTAGCTTGTTGGTTTAGTGGGGTAACGGGGCTGGTTGGTTGCGTTGCTGCTCACTCACCACTTTCCAGGTTCGAACCATTTGGGTACACATAATAATGATAATAATAATATTCCTTCATACCGAGGTATTTCAAAATACCTTTTTCTTACCCGATTATTTGTATTGAAATTTATACCAAATAACTCCGAAACACCCGAATCAAATCTCATGGAATTAATAATGACGTTTTTAGTATGACTTCTCTCAGGTATTTTACATTTATTTTGACATTGAAGTAATTTTATATTTTAAGACGTCACATCCTTTAGAATATTTTTATAAGAGAAATTAGCTCTAATAAATAAATATGAAAAAAAATGTCCCGAGTTATTTAATAATTAGAGATCCAGTATAAAAATAAACCAAATTAAATAATCATCTATGGACATGTCTATATTAATCATCTCCCACATGCTTCACTTTTATATACAAATACATATATATTATATATTAAAATTTTACAATTATGCTAATTATTATTATTATTTTCCGTTCGTTTGTTATATAAATGATTCTATAGGCCCATATGATTCCCGTGGGCCTAACATGGGCTCTCACCAGAAGAAGCAGCCCAAAAGGAGCAACATTTGGGCCCATTGAGCCCATGATGGGACTGCTCAAGGGACAGGATGGAATTCCATTTTTTTTAATATCATCACTGCCGAGGCAATGTGCAGCACATAAGCGAGATTGAAGAAAGACAAGAGAAAGAGAGAGAAACAGAAACAGCAACAGCAACAGCAACAGCAAAGAAGACGATCGCCATAGCCATTGCTCAGACGTCATTAAGCTCTGCTGCTCCAAACTTACTCAACCACGCGCTCTCTCTCGTAATGCCGAAAATTCCCTCACCTGAAACCCGATTATTCCTATAATTTTTTTCAGGTCATCGAGCCATCAAATTGATTGACACGATCGCAGCTTCAATTTCCTTTGGAGATCTGGTTTTTCTTCCATCGGATTAGCCTTCTTGTATTGTGGATAAGAATCTTCCTGTTCTCATTGTAAGTTTTCTTCTTCTTCATTTCCCCTTCCCTTCTTCATCTTCGTCTTCTGCTCCCATGCGTTTTGATTTATCAGTCATCAATTACAATCTTCGATTGTATGAGGGTATGTTCTTCGCCAGATCTTGTGATTAGAGATCGATTCTTCCACTTCTTCAGTCTCATATGTGCTTTCCTTTTCTCTGTATGGAGTTCTCTGAGAACTTGAGAAGGGGAGAGTTCCGGCAGAATCTGGATTAGTCGTCTGCTTCATTCCGTTTCCATAGTCGTTTCAATTGCAAATTTACAAATTTCTCTTTGTTTTCCCTTTGCAGGTATGGAGACGGAGGTGAGGAATCAGAATCAGAGAGGTTGTAAGCCTTTAGAACCGGAGGTGTTCTTACAGTGGGCAAAGAAGAAGCGACTGCGATGTGCTAGAATCAAAGACCCTGAGATCTCCGAGCGATTGTGCGGCGGTCTACGGAAGAAAATCGCATCTCGGGCCGATCGCTGTGTGGTTTCTGGTTCCGAGAAAGAAAGAACCCCACTCCAACCTAATCGCCTAACTAGGTCAGTCAGAAATTCACGCCTATTTCCTGTTCCACCACACTCTTTTTGATTCCCGAGAAAGCTGATTAAAAATAAATAAATAAATAAAAGGACGATTATGACTTTTCTCTCCTCTGTTAATTTCTGGTTTGGATGTTCCCATTCATTCATTATTTGTGTTTCTATGGGCTACTTGGGTTCATGTATTTGTGGTTGTGTTGTGTTCTTGGGTCTTTCTCCTCCTCCTCCTCCCCCAGCTACCAAAGAGAGGGCAATTGAAGAGAGGTGTTTTCCCAGAAATTCGAGGTAAATCAATTGTGTGTGTTGTGGATCTGTTTGGTGACAGGAATTCTGAGGGCGTTACTACGCTGCGTAACGGTGCAGGCACATCCCCGTCGCCGGAGAAGGAGGACCGTTACTACGCCACCAGAGGATCCGCCGGCGCTGCTGTGGTGGATGAGAATGGAAGAATCTCAACCAACAGCAACGGCAACAGCAACAACAAGGCGGAGGAAAGAGGGTTTGTTTGGCCGAAGCTGTTTATAGCTCTGTCAAGCAAAGAAAAGGAGGAAGACTTCATGGCCATGAAGGGGTGCAAGCTCCCTCAAAGGCCCAAAAAGAGGGCCAAGATGATTCAGAGAAGCTTACTTGTAAGCAACTGCAACAACACCATATTTCCCCCCATTTTCCTATCGCCGTGTGTTTGTATGTATGTTTGTTTGTTGTTAATGGTTGTTTGTTTGTGGCAGCTGGTGAGCCCTGGGGCATGGCTGAGTGAAATGAGCCAAGAGAGATATGAAGTGAGGGAAAAAAAGAGTACAAAGAAGGTACATAACTTTGCTTGTTTCTTTCCCATCATCTCTGTTAAATGAAATTGCTTGTTTTTTCTTCTGGGTTGAAGTAGAAGTTGAAGAAAATGCCTTCCCTTTTCTTTTTGTTCGTGGGTTTTGAATTTACAGAGGCCAACTGGGTTGAAAGCCATGGGAAGCATGGAGACTGATTCAGAATGAATTTTTTTTTGGTTCTTTTGGGAAATGCTGAATTGAATGAAGAAGAGGAGATGGATAATCCCTCAGTCACAATCTCAATTTCAACCTCATCCTAAGGCTCTGCTTCTTCTGCTGTGCCCTTTTGGAGTTGTGGGTCAGAATTTGGTATTGGATTTGATGCTAAACAAGTCCAGTTTTGTGGGTTGGTTTAGTTTATTAGGCAGAGCCGCAAAAGCGATGAGTTGTTTACCAAATTAAAGAAAAAGTTGCTCTTTTTTTTTTTTTTGTATAAAATGTAATGTAAAAAAAGAAAACGATTGTTCTTTATAATGGAAGGTGAATTTTAAATTGGGTTCTGTATTGGGGGGTGATGATTATGACCCACCCAAATTGAAAAATGGTCCAGAATTAGTTACGGTGCAAATTTATTGTGTTTTTATTTTAAATTTGTTACTCAGATAATGTGAAAGTTTGAGTAAAAAGGGTTTGTTTTATGTTGGAAAGGTCAAATTTTGAGGGTAGAGAATATGAAGAAAATGGCCATTTCCTTCGCATATAAGAAATCAATAGTGGAAGGAAGAGTAAGAACAATTGAATGAACGAATAGCACAGAAATTGGCAATCATTATAATACAAATGAGAGACGGAGATGAAAAGGGTGGAGCTATGGAGTACAGGCACAGAGATGGGCAAATCACTTGTGCTGACATGGATTCCACCTCAGCTTTCTTCCCTTACGTGGCCGGATCCTATTGGTTACCAACGCTGCAACATTGAAGGGTGAAGGGTGAGTAAGGAATGTTCTTGGGTGTTGAATGAATCCAGCACGCCTACAGATACCCACCGTCAGTTCATTGTGTGTTTTAGCTGAGCCAAAACACCACAGCACATATCTCCCACGCATTTATACGCCCTTTGAAGAGGTCCATCTGCAGTTGCTAAGGAATAAATGGTTAGATTTGATAAAAGAGGTCCACAAACACCGTTTGCTTACGCCTCCATGATCGAGCCAGAAGCGTAATGCAGGCGAATTTTCTATTGGGGCCAATCCCCATCCCCATTTCCTCTTCCTCCTCTGCCATCAGTTTCTACTCCTCACTCATCGCCAATTCTCTTCGCCGCACTTACTCCTGCAACCCCTATTCCAAATCAACCAATCCCCTTCCTCGATCCACTCCCATCGTCGCTTCTTCGTCCACCGCCATTGACGGCGACCGCAACCATTACCAGGTACTCGGCGTCCCTCGCGCTGCCTCCTCCAAGGAGATCAAGAAAGCTTTTCGTCTGCTCGCTCGCAAGGTAACTCTATATTCAGATTCTCTTGATTCTTCGTGTTAGCTATACAATTTAATTGTTTGCGCTCTAGAATCTCACCGACTATAGAACAATGGTGGTATGTCGGACCAGTTTGGGAATATATTTGGTGTTTTGTATTTCGTTAAATTTAGGTTTTCCCTATATGCTGTAAGCTTGTATCAACACATGCCATGTTCTTGGTTGATTTAGAGAAAGGCTAAGGATGTAGATTGTAGTTTAGAAAAAGGGTTTTGGCTCAATATGGTTATCTGGATGATGTGGTAAATCCCGTGCTGGTCAATTTCTAAATCCAGACCATTGGGCTGTCTTGGAATTCTCAATATGCACTTGAACATAACTTCTCTCAAGTGCTTTCTGGTCACTCTCTCAAGAAAAAAGCAAAGAAGCTTTTGATATCAATTCTTTTGGTGTATTTGTGTGATATCCAACATTGGTTGGGGAGGAGAACGAAACACCCTTTATAAGAGTGTGGAAACCTTTCCTTAGCAAACGCGTTTTAAAGTCGTGAGGGGAAGCCTGAAAGGGAAAGCCTGGATCTGGGCCGTTACAATTTGGTTGGAAAGAATCAACAGATTATTCAATGGTAAATTCGGGTGTCACTCTTCTCAACCAAAGCAAGGTTGTGGGAGGTGAAAGTGCCCAAAGGAGCATGGTTCTTGCTTGGATAGTTACAAGTGTTAGGCTTTTTTTCTCCCCATCCTAATCAGTGGGGATTTGAAATATTCATTGTCTCAAATGTTTGCTTAGGCACTTTGTTCCAAATGTTCTATTGTGTGCCCCTGCTAATAATAGCCACCCACTTAATGTACTTTTATTATGAACTACAGTACCATCCCGATGTTAGCAAGGATTTGCGAGCTGCTGATGCCTTCAAGAGCATACGACATGCATATGAAGTGAGTATCTTCATACTGCAACTCCATTTTATAACTTTTTTTGTGATAGACACTATTTCATTTCACAATCCACAAATATTGATGAACACAAAAGCAAGCATGGTCTCATTATTTGAGGGTAGGAGAATATTATATGAACTAGGATGTCCTTCCTTTACCTCCAAGACCAATCACGCATTCAACGGCCAAATAGCTACAACTAGCTTGGACTGAATTAAGGAAGGTCAAGGAAGGAAAAATGAACAAAACCTCTATATGTGGTGGTGTTAAATGATGCTACTAGAAGAAAATGATGGAGCTTTTTGTTAGGTAATTTATTATTTTAATTTTTGCTAGCAAGGTTTATTTTAGGTGTTATTTTTATTTTATTATTTTGTTTATAGTTATATAGGACACCATACTCTAGGGTAGATTGTTCGTTTGGCCAATCAATTAAATATACTAGGTTTAAATGTTGGTTGTTTTTTGTTCTTGGGAATGAAACATTTTTAGATTTTAATGAGTCTTGTAGAGTGCTCAAATTCTGAGTAGGGAACTAGTTCTCTTTACGTCTTGGGTTCAATACAAGGTAATCTTGTCTAACTTTCCGCTGAGGTTGTGCTAAATTGATTTTGGGGGTTTTAGTATTTGTGAATTAGGGGTTCACATAGCCAAACGAAACCGTTCCTAATTTCAAATCATAAATACTAAAACCCTAGTGATACCCAAATGATATGAAAATCCTAGTAATTTGTAGTTAGGAACCCTTTAGTGACGTGAACCCCAGTTTACAGATACTAAAACCTCCCAAATCAATTGAACACAATCCCAAGGAGAGTTAGAGAAAGTTACCTTATGATAAAAAACCAAGAAATAAGGAGAACCAGTTCACTACTTAAGCTTTGAACACTTGTTGATCGGGCTTACCTGCAACCTTAGTTCGAGAACTACAAAGTGGTGATGAGACTCAGCCATCAAAATGTAGAACAGTTTTATTCACAAAAACAACCAATTATGTACAACATCTCATTTATCATTTAAACCTAGTACGTTTCGTTGATTAGCTAAAAGAGCAATCTACACCTAAGTATGATTTTCCACGTGACTCAAAATAATAATAATAATAATAATAATAATATAACAAAAGTCATACAATGACCCAAACATAAACACCTCAAATAAATCTTTCTAGCAAAAATTACAATAGTAGGCTTCGTAGCATAAAACTACATAATTTTCTTGTTGTAGCATTATCCTAATACCATGTATAGAGCTTTTGTTCTATTTTCCTTCCTTTTCCTCCTTTAATTGAATTCACTTTTGTTTGTATGTGGGAATCGAAAGCTAGTTGGAGTTGTTTGGTCCTTGAACGCGTGATTGGTCCTATAGTTAAAACAAGGATAACCTGATTCATATAAGAATATATGTTCTTAAGTTGGTAAAATAAGCTTTTGCTCACTGCTTAGTGGAAGAGTTTGGTTCCTACGATGTTTATTGAAGTAAGTTTCAATAATTTATTGATGTAAGAATGTCTTATGTTTTCCTTTTCCCTTGAATTTAATGATTTATGTTCACTGATTGGTGGAAGATGTTTGTGTTCTCCCGTGTTTATCGATGGTAAGTTGCAAGAATTCGATATTCTTTTGCGTTCTCCCTTCCTTGGGATTGCTGTATCTTTGGTATCTGGAAAAATGAATCCATAGATCTGTCAGTATGAACCTGTAAATCACTGGAGAAATTAAGCTTGAAACAAAATCTTTTCAGATGGAAACTCACTCTGCTAGTCACTCTAAAGATTTGATGTCATGTTTGGTTTATAACCAGAAGCCTGAACGTCTACTCTATGCTGACTTTCTGAACAGGTATTGGCTAATGAAGCGACAAGAGCTCAGTATGACCAAGCATTGAAGCTTCAAGAAAGTACTGACAGGCGATACAGAGGAAAGTGGTATTATAGTCCTGATTTTGAAGAAAGATCGAGAAGCTATAGATGGGCTGAACTGAAGCAAAAGAGACAGTATGAGAGAGATCAGAAATATTATAGATTCCAAGAGGATTTTTCCCACATTGATGAAGATGAGGAGGAGGAAGGAAGCAGCAGCAGCAGCGAACTCAGAAGCCCCTTTGTCGAAGTGCTGAAAACAACATTTTTGTCTTTGTTTCTACTTCAAACGTTCGGCTCCCAGTTGTCCCTCACCTTTAGCGGCCTGGTGGTGTTGTTCGACTGGAAGTTGGACGCGGGGTATAAGATGGGACATCTAGTGGCATGGCTGCTGGGTGGAAGAGCTGGTGTTTTACTAGCCATATGTCTCTCGTTTGCAAGCTGGGTGTGTGGGAAAAGTAGCAGCAGTGCAGTTGCTGTTGTGGTAGTGGCTATGTGGGTGGGATCCAATCTTGCAAGATATGCACCACTTCCTCAAGGGGCTGTTCTCACTCTTCTCTACATGTCCATCAAGCTTCAAGCTGATTTCAACTGAAGTTTAAACTTAGCTGCAACAGCTAAGGTGTACAAATGTGTCGTGTTCGAACCCTGCACATAATGTGGCGATGGATGAATATCTGTTGTTTTATTGATTCTCATAGCCTTGGGATCAAGGATTTAGGGGCCATTTGAGCAAGTTTATGTTTGTTTCTCCTTTTTTTAATGATAATCTTTCTTGATTCTAGGTGCATCCATTTTTTTTAAAAAAATTATATTCCTTTTAGACATGATTATTAAAATGTAAATTATGACCCATACAAAATAATCAATTAGGAATCTAGAATGTAATTTAAACAAGCTATAACAAGAGAATATTTCGATTGACGTTGCCAATTTTATATAAATAGTATTTCGACATTTCCATCGAGATTTTAAATATTTAATAAATGTATAATCATAATAATGTACTTAAATTATTATTATTATTATTTTTTTTTAAATTTAGATTTAGCATACACACGAGGTTGAGGAGTTTTGTAATATGATGAGTTTTAAATTAGGGCACATTCGGGAAGTGAGTTTGGTGAATAGAGCATTTCATTTGGTCCTAAAACCCTTCACTCCCTTCCGCCATACTCCAACTTACTGAACTTCTAGGGCTTTCTTGCTTCTCCTTCTCCCTCCATTGCATTCATTTACTCGCTCGCACTCCTGGGGTTTGACGTCTGCTCATCTCCTGTGCCATTTCCTGCCCCACCTCTAGTTTCTCACTCTCTAAGTTCAGGCTTTTCACAGGAATTCGAAGATGGGTTTCCAGCTGCCGTCTCATGGAATTCAATCCATGCTTAAAGAGGGTCACAAGCATCTCTCCGGCTTGGATGAGGCTGTTCTCAAGAACATTGACGCCTGCAAACAGCTCTCCACTATTACTCGAACATCTCTTGGTCCCAATGGTATGTTTCCTCTGATCTCAACCCCACTGCTCCTTTTTTCCCCATTTCGTTTCATATTATGTTATTTAGAGTTTTTTAGAACGAAAATGTGACGCACATTTGCGTCACCGGTTTTTTAGTATGATTTTTTTGTCGGTTTATCTTTGTACGCCAACTATGGGAGGGTATCGTTTCCCCTTCCAAGAGGCGAACTTTCTTTGAAGACAGACAGAGATACATTACATTGCAGATCGGACAATGAATCCAATCTGAACTGTAGGATTAACCTTGCAGTTATAAAGACAAAGGTTGGATAGGCGAGACAAATAATGGTTAAGTTTATTTGCAATTGTACGTCTGCTGTAATGAAAACATTTCAACTTCATTCTGAATTGAGCTATTTGTAAGTACCTGCATAGCTCAACTGAGATTCAAATCCCCCCGACCACCCACATATTTCAGTGCAATCAAAATTTTAGAAAGCCATCATGTATAAGAAAGCTCTATTGGTAATTTTTACTTAACATTTAAGGTTGGAGCTTAATGTAGAAATTTGCGAGAATAATTAAGACAATATTGTTCAAGGAGTGCTTCTATAGCCTCTGCTTTTAAATGTTTTCTTTCTAGAGTTTTTGTACTGTTTGAAATATATTCCAAACGTACTATCTATGTCAATGCCCTTATTCTTAAGTATCTTTTCTCAGGAATGAATAAGATGGTAATTAATCATCTAGACAAGCTTTTTATCACAAATGACGCTGCAACAATTGTTAATGAACTAGAGGTACAGCATCCTGCAGCCAAAATTTTGGTTTTAGCAGGTAAAGCTCAGCAAGAAGAAATTGGTGATGGAGCTAATCTAACAATTTCATTTGCCGGGGAGCTTTTACAAAACGCTGAAGAGCTCATCAGGATGGGTCTGCACCCTAGCGAAATAATCAGTGGCTACACGAAAGGAATCAATAAGGTTTCTCACTTTTACAATGGTTATGGAAAACATAGATGAAATTTTGTAACATGCCATTTTAATATCATGTCTTCACTTTGGTTCAGACTATTGAGGTTTTGAATGAACTAGTGGAGAAGGGTTCAGAGAACATGGATGTTCAAAACAAAGAGCAAGTTATTTCGCGAATGAAAGCTGCTGTTGCTAGCAAGCAATTTGGACAAGAAGATTTTATTTGTTCTCTAGTTGCTGATGTATATTTTCCTACTCTTGTTACAATTGAGTAATTATCCTGTAAATCCTTTCCTTGCCAATTTATGAATACATTTTTTCTGTGTTGCAGGCATGCATTCAAGTATGTCCTAAGAATCCGCAAAATTTCAATGTGGACAATGTTCGAGTTGCAAAGTTATTAGGAGGTGGGTTGCATAATTCTTCAGTAGTGCGCGGCATGGTCTTGAAAAGTGATGCTGTGGGAAGTATAAAGCGAATTGAGAAGGCCAAGGTATGAACAACCATTTATTTACACTTCCATCATGATGAATGTGTTTCTTATGTACTTGCCTATTGTTGATTCATGTTCTTCTGCGAGGTTATACATGTTTTTCTTTTTAATTTAATTTATTTGTTCTTCATATGCTTACAACTGGTTTAATTATGTAATTATTACTGCTCGATGATGTGTTGTTCCCAGCTAATGTGCTAACCAAGATTAGATGGCAGTGATTCTCTTAGGATAAGTTTTGTTTCATGCAAAAAGAAGAAAAATGTTAGAGGATGTTAATAAAATCCTTGTTAATGGCATCCAGATCATTTCATCTTTAAGAAATGAAATTAGCATTTCTTAAATTCCAAGTGCTAATTCCTTCTGCTTGCAGAAATGAAATTTAAGAAGAAAGAGGAAAAAAGAATTAAGACTTTTATCTGCATCTGGGATAGCTGTGTTGTTATCTTTCGCTTCTACATTATGTGGTTTTAAATGTCAGCTGTATGCTTACATAAATTATATGATTAATGATAGGCTTGGCTATTTAAGTGGGTTTTTTGGGGGATGCTGTCTTGGTGATTGTGATAGATGATGAGGAATCTTCACCTGTTTTTAACGCTTTGGTTTTTGCAAAGTAAAATTGCTTGAATATTGGTTGCATTAAACTTTGATTTGTATTATAATTTTTTATAACTAAAAAGAATTTCAAACTCTTATTTTGTTGTACTTCTCAAATATTATTGTGAAATTATTTCTCCTAGTTATTTTGGCTTGATTTGCTTCAACATTTTTTTTATGAAGGTTGCTGTATTTGTTGGTGGCGTTGATACATCTGCAACAGAAACAAAAGGAACAGTACTGATTCACACTGCTGAGGAGGTAGATCTCAAAAATTTTTATACTATTTTTTAGTTTCAATTTTCCCATTTTCAAATGGTAATCTTGTACCAAGATATTCTTTTTGGGAAGTACTTGAAGATTTGGATTGCTTCCTTTGCCTTTGGCGTCTTTTGATATTTCTTTGACCCATAAGAGATGTTGTTTTATGATGACGGAGGAGATTTTGTTTCACCTTCCATTTCGGGAGAAGGGTTGAATTCTTCGGTATTTAGATTTTCTTTTTTTGGCTGTTTGAGAATTTTGCTTGAGAGGGACAGGAGAACTTCTAGGGGTGTTGATAGGTCTGGAAGGAGGTTCAGTCTATTGATATGTTTAATGCTTCTATTTAGGCATTCTCTTCTAGAAGTTTTATAATTCTTCTTCAGGTCTTATTCTTTTGAATTAGAACTCTTTTTGTATCTTTAGCTCATTTTTTGGCTGGCTTCATTGGTTGGGCTGCTTGTTTTGTAGGCACTTCTTATATATGTCATATCTCTCAGCTTGAATTTCCAATAAATAATGTATTAATCTAACTAGATGTCTCTTCGTTTATTTGAGGCAATTTTGGTTGGTAGTGGAGTAATCATGGAAAATAGAAAAGGAGTCCTGCTTCTTAGTGATATTTTTTTTTTTTGTTATTATTTTGATTGGAAATTATAAATCTTATTTTTGGATATTCTCTTGTTTTATTGCTTATAATTATCTTCTTGTTTTGCCTGGTTCAGATATTGTCCTACTTTTTCTTGATGAAAAAAATGGCATTCTTTCACTTTTGGGCTCTTTGTGAGGTTTTTGGTTGCAATTGCATTTGTATTTTTTTTTAATATCAATTTATCCACATGCTTATCAACTGTAGCTACAAAACTATGCAAAAACGGAGGAAGCTAAAGTTGAGGAGCTGATAAAAGCAGTTGCAGATTCAGGGGCTAAAGTAATTGTTAGTGGAGCAGCTGTTGGGGAAATGGCTCTACATTTCTGTGAGCGCTACAAGTATGTTGAGTTTTCCTTCTCTCTGTTGTTTTTTGGTCTCCAGTTAAGTTCTAAAAATGTGGTTGCTGAATAAAAATGCTATATTTCTTGTTCATTGCACTCATAGAAATGTACGTTTGATGTGCACTAGATTCTGTTGGGTGATGGAGGAAAAAGCGTTGTTCCATCTCTTTGTTTTACTGACTCCATATCAGGTTCAAGCATGTTTATAACTTTGTAATATATCCAAATCTATGTCTATGATACGGCTGTATGATTTTAGAATTTAAAATTAGTAGATAGGAATTTTTATGGTACTAATTTGCTTTGGTGATGCATGTTGGGAAGAGTTGGTTTGTGATGTGTTGGATATGGATGAACTATCAAGATTCAATCTTTCTTTCCCCTTCGATTCTTTCTTTAGTTTCATTTACTGTTGCACTGCAGGCTTATGGTGTTAAAAATTAGCTCAAAGTTTGAGTTGCGGAGATTTTGTCGCACAACTGGTGCTGTAGCCATGGTAAGCTTGTTCTGGCTTTTGCTATTGATAAAGTGAGATTGTTTTCTTCATTGCTATTGACATAGTTCCCCCACCCCCACCAAACGACAGTTGAAGCTTAGCCAGCCAAATCCAGATGACTTGGGTCACGTGGACTCTGTCTCAGTTGAAGAAATTGGTGGTGCTAGGGTATGTTGTCTGTATGAACTTAATTATTTTTATATTGTACAGTTTTTCATGATTGCCTCTTGATTTGTGGCACAATTACTAATTATTTTCCTTTGATATTGTATAATAGGTCACAGTTGTGAAGAATGAAGAGGGGGGTAACTCCATATCAACAGTTGTGTTACGAGGAAGTACCGATAGTATTCTGGATGATCTTGAACGGGCAATTGATGATGGAGTTAATACCTACAAAGTATTTCTCTGCATATGTACTGTTTGTTTTTTGGAATTATTTGGAGCTTGCGTAATGATTTTCTTTGTCAGGCAATGGCGAGGGACAGCCGAATAGTACCTGGTGCTGCTGCTACTGAAATTGAGTTGGCTAGAAGAGTGAAGGAGTTCTCTTTTAAAGAAACTGGGTATTTCTTTTTATTTTTTTTTTAAATTTAATATTGCACAAGTGAAGATCACTTTTTTTTACTATCGAACAGAATCGCTTCTTAACAGCATCATTTCTCTGGCAAGAAAAGGAAATTTTTTTACACAACTGACATAATCAGAGTGAATGCAAACTTGAGTCATGTAATGTCACGGGAAGTCATGTAATGCCAGCTCTAGATGTCCCATTTAACACGTTAATGTTTTCTAACTTTTCTTTTTGATTCAGATCAATGCATGTTTGTTCGTTGATTTGGTCAATGTGTTGAATTATTTCCTAGGGATGCTGAAATGAGGACTAGAGTCATTCTATTCTATTATTGAAGAAACACTGACGACTTTTCCTTTTGTCTGTAGATTGGATCAGTATGCCATTGCGAAATTTGCAGAAAGTTTTGAGATGGTACCAAAAACTCTTTCTGAAAATGCTGGGCTAAATGCAATGGAGATAATTTCCTCATTGTATGCTGAGCATGCATCCGGAACTACCAGAGTGGGTATAGACATGGAGGAAGGGACTTGCAAGGATGTTTCCACGATGAATATCTGGGATCTTCACATTACTAAGTCAGTTTTCATTCTCTTACAATGTGAAAAATTATGATTATTCTCAAGAAACTCTTAGTTCGGTGCTTCATACAATATATAATTGTGTATCTTTCTTGTAAAGTTGCATTTTTCTTAATTCTTACTTGTATATAATTATGTTACAAGATATAGTTAGTGCCTTGCTTATTTCGTAAGGTAGTCATCATTATACGATAAATCTGTCCTGTTAAATGCATGTTACTGGTGATGACTTCATTCTTGTTTTTTTTTTTTAAAAAAAGTCATTAGGGATGCTGCTAACTCATGATGACATGCGCTTTTGTCTGGCTTTTTTTCTTTTCTAGGTTATTTGCTCTTAAGTATGCCGCTGATGCTGCTTGTACTGTCCTTCGAGTCGACCAGGTACCCTTGTATTAATCTGCTGATGCTTGCTTGCATTGACATTTAATTTGTTAAGATCATATATATTTACATAGGACTGCTGAGACTCACAAGATCAACCTTCTAATATTTATTGACCTTGTTAAGTTTTAATCCTGGAAGGTTGCTTGCATAATACATGAATTTGAAGCAGGAGATAATGCGTAATGTATTTTTAAATATGTTTTGGACTGAACGTTATTATTCCACCCATGTTGCAGATTATAATGTCAAAACCAGCAGGAGGTCCCAGGAGAGGACAGCAGCCTGCAGGGATGGACGAGGACTAAATGCTGAATTGGGCTACATTATTATTTATCTTTAAGTTTTGATTAAGATACTAAAATGGTTTGTTTTATATATATATAAAAGAAGAGAGGGGTGGTGTTTCCATTGCATTTGGGGCTTGGTTGGGGAAATGTGGCTTTTTACGCGTGCCACTACTACTAGCAGGACTATTTCTTTTTAGTCACCGGTTTTGTCTGTTGGATAGATTGTACTGTTGATGATGTTGTTATAGTGAGGCCTCTTTTGTTTATGATACAATCAGAACGTGGTTATGCCAAGGGTAGCTTATTAGGTAGGTTTCTCAATTCCCATGTTTATTTGGATCGATTATTCAGGTGTGTTTCTATTCATTAATATTTGTCAAGAAATTTATGGAATTTTACTCTCAACTATGGACTCATTCTCTCGCTGACTTTCTTTTTAGCCTTTATTTGTTTTATGGAGTATTAGTGTTAGAATTTGATGAATTTGAGGGGAAAAAACATGTTTTTTGCATAGTTATCTTTTGTCGAAAGTTAGTAGAAAGCTTTTTTTTTTTTTTCTTGAGCTTTCTTATCGTCTTTCTTCGTTACCATTTACAATTCATCTTAGCAATTCACTCGGAGATTATTTAAATTAAAATTTTAAAATATTTAAATATAAGATGAACTCTTAAATAAATCATCGTAATTAAATTGAGTATAACGATCAACATTTTTTATTTGTATCTCTACAATATTCGTTAATTAAGACCTTTTTACCCTAAAAAAAAAAATATATATTTATATATATATAACAGGGAGAATTAAAGAAGAGCCGTTATGAGTGGATAAAGGGACCAAAATAGAACTCCAAAGGAAGACATTGGTGGGAGAGTAAGGTAAGGATGAGCTTAGGACACTCTTCTTCAACTCTGTGTGGAAGCCATTAATTCCTCCTCTTTATCTCTCAATCTCCCATGGCTTCTCTGGTTTGCCTTCCCCTCCCAAAGCTAAGCATTGTTAGGGCTTCTTCTTCTTCTTCTTCTTTTTCTTCTTCCCTCTCTCCTTCTGCAACTTCCCCTTTACCCGCCGATTCTCTCAACGACAAATTTGGCCGCAAGGGCATCCACTTCCACCAGTCTAATGGCATTCCCACCGTCGACCTCACCGTCCGCAACGGCAGCTCCTTACGCCTCCACATCTCCGATGCCCATATCACTTCCTACAAACCCAAAGTCTATTGGAAGGACGACGGCTTCGAGGAAGTTCTCTTCACTACTCCCGCCGCTAATGGCGGAAAAGGAGGAATTGGCCTTGTGATCAACGATGCGTCCAATTCAGCCTCTAAATCCTCTCTTCTTCCCACTTCTGATTGGACCGTCAAAGATGTCGATTCCGATGCCATTGATGCTCTCCAGGTATATCTAGCATATATCTAATATATCTTTGACGAAATTTTGCCTGGTTCTCTTTGGGCTTTGCTTCTTCATTTATTTATGATCTTTGCTGCTCAAGCGTTGAGTGAATTCATTTGTCTTGTTTTTCTCCTAATTATGCTGTGGGACTGCAGGAGCAGAAGCTACATTAATGATTTAAGTTAGTGTACCCCGTTGTCTACCTGGAATCTGAACTCTATTTTGTATTTGAATGGGTTGCACACTTTTGTTATATTATTGATATGATATTATTCACTTTGGACATAAACTCTCATGGTTTTGTTTTAGTTTCTCCAAAAGGCCTCGTACCAAATGAAGATAATGCTCTTTACTTATAAACTCATGATACTCCTCCTAATTAGCTGAGTGGGACTACTCCTTTCAATAATTTTCAACAATCCTCCCCTCGAACAAATTACACCATAGAGCCTCCCTTGAGGCCTTTGAAGCTCTCAAACAGCTTTTCCTTAATCGAGGCTCAACTCTTTTCTCTGGAGCCCTCAAATAAAGTACACCATTTATTCGACACTTCGAGGCTCACAATTTCTTTGTTTGACATTCGAGGATTCTATGGACATGACTAAATTATGGGCATGGCTCTGATACTATGTTAGGAATCACAAATCTCCACAATGTTTACTTTGAGCCTAAACTCTCATGACTTTACTTTTAGTTTTCCTAAAATGCCTCATACCAATGGAGATAGTGTTCCTTACTTTGTAAACCCATGATCTTCGTCTTAATTTCTTAATTAGCTAATGTGAGATACTTCTTTTAATAATCCTCAACAGATCTAACAAATCCTCCTTTGAAACGAGTATTCATTTGTCCACTCTCTATCATGATTCTACTATTTTCGTGATCCCTGGTTAAACGATTAGATGTGTGAGAGGTTTAAGAACTGTATTTCATGAATTTTAGGAGGTAGCAAGATTTGAATTGCATTGGAGTGTTATTGGGAAGCAGCTACGTTGTGGCGATCATATTAAATAATTTCTCCCTTCTGTCATATTATGTTTGGAACGTGATTTTGAGCTTGCGTAGTTATTGTTTTCATCTCTATATTGGTAATGATATCATCATTATACTAATTAAGATTTTGTTCTTCCTTCTCAACTCATAGTTTTCCTCACTCTAGTGCTAAGTAATGAAGGGTTGAATACATCTCATCTTTTGTTAAGACAGTGTACCAAGTTGTGCAAGTTGAATGCCTTTGTATGTGGAGGTTTCATTTTGTTTTCCCTGGCATGGTTTTGTTGCAGGTGGAGTTGAGCTGCAGTAGCAAGCAAATGGAGATTACTTACATTGTCACTCTCTATTCCGAAAGTATGGCGACGGCTGTGATTGTGAAGAACACGGGACCAAAGCTGTTGTCGCTAAACAGCGCAATACTGAGTCATTTCAAGTTCAAACGACGAGATGGGGCAGCAATCCAGGGGCTTGAAGGATGCTCCTACTGTTCTCTCCCCCCATTATCTTCCCCTTTTGAAATACTGTCTCCGACAGAAGCAATGAAGGCAGAGGACCCCGATTGGTTCTCGTTCGGCTCTGAGCCTCAAGAAAAGGCAGGTTCGTGGAGCCTCCAAGATGTGCCCTTTACCATCTTGAAGAACAAGTTCAGTAGAGTTTATGCCGCACCACCAGCAGAGAGGTCGAAGCCTGTATATCACACCACACCTTCGAAGTATGAGACTCTTGATCAGGTAAAGAAATAGCTACTGTATTGCATCACACATCTTTGAACATGTTTTTGGCATCGCTAAGTACTTTCTATTCAAGAACTTTACTTCTTACTTATCTTAAGAACTTTTTACTTCTTAATCTCTTTTGGCGAAGTACTTATAAGGGAAATATTTTGACGAAAAGCACTTATGTATTTCAGGGACGAGAGCTGTTCTTCAGGGTGATAAGAATGGGGTTCGAAGACATATACTTACAAAGCCCTGGTTCATTATCTGACAAGTTTGGCAAAGACTACTTCATATGCACTGGCCCTGCTTCCATGTTAGTTCCTGTCACAGTCAAACCTGGTGAACAATGGAGGGGCGCCCAAGTTATTGAGCATGATAACTTGTAATGTATTATTTCCTCTTTAATCTTCATATTTTTACCCAAATTCATTATCAAATGAACACCTGATCAAGTACAAGTAGCAGCTAAAATATTTACATATGCTCCTCTATTTTCGAGAACTTGGTGTACGAGCTTCTTTGTTTATACAATAAATCCACCGACTTCCCAATATGATATTACTAATCAGGATCAACAAGTTGGCTCTGTTTTGTTGTTGTCACGTTCTATTATAATATAGAGTCACTTGAATTTGTCAATCTCAACCTCCCGTGAGTACAATGGCTTCAGAATCAGGCCCTGCTATGGCTTCTCTGCCACTTCAGGATCGAGTGGTCATTGTAACCGGTGCCTCTCGGGGCATCGGCCGAGCCATCGCCTTTCACCTCGCTGCTCTTGGTGCCCGTATTGTTGTCAATTATGTGTCATCCTCGGCTAAAGCTGACCGTGTTGCTGCTGAGATCAATTCATCCTCGGCCACCATGAGTGGCCTACGAGCCATTGCCTGGCGGGCAGATGTGTCCGATCCAGAGCAAGTGAAGTCGCTGTTTGACACAGCCGAGCAGACATTTGGCGCCCAGGTCCATATCATGGTTAATTGTGCTGGAATTTCTGATCCTACTTACCCTTATATTGCTGATACTAAACTGGAGATTTTTGACCAGATTTTCAGGTCCCTCTTCTTCCTCTTTTATGAAATTTCATAGGAAAAATCTTTAAATCTCTTAATTCCATGGGAGGAGATTTTAGTTAAATCACCACAAGACGCAAAGCTTTAGAGGATAAGTTGTAAACTTGGGGTGAGTTCTATATGATTCAACAAGCAGTTATGCATATGAATTAGGGCGATTGTGTTTTTCAGTGTGAACACGAGAGGAAGTTTCCTGTGCTGCAGAGAAGCAGCAAACAGAGTGAAACGCGGCGGTGGGGGGCGGATAATACTGATTGAACACTAAGAAACAAAATTGTTACTGTTTTTTTTTTATCCTTTTAGTTAATAATTCAACAGACTCTGAATTACGAAAATGTAAATATTACTTTTTTTTAAAAAAATAAGGAGTATATGTCAATTTTTACCTGCGTAACCATTTTGGCTTTGTTTAGTTGTTATTATAATTATTATTATGTGGAAGTATATTTAATATAATCCATAAAATTGTCAATTACCAAGCCTGTAACACATATTATATATATATATATATATATATATATATATATATATATATATATATATATATAAATAAGATAATATAATAGAGGAATGGGGAAGCTTTTCTATCCCGCTTGTGGACATCTCATATAGACGAGGTCACTCTTAGAGTAAGGAGCAAGAACTTTCATTCTTAAAGTGTAACGGTCCAAATTTACTGCCAACAAATATTGTGCTTTTATTTTCGGGTTTCCTCTCAATGTTTTAAAACGCGTCGGTTAGAAAGAGGATTCTACACTGTTATAAAGATTGGTTTGTTCCCCTCTCCAATCGACGTGAGATCTTACAATCCAAGATTGGTTTGTTCCCCACTCCAATCAATGTGAGATCTTACAATCCACTCCCCTTTGGAGCCCAGCATCCTCGTTGGTACTCTCGTTCCCTTCTCCAATTGATGTGGGTACTCACAATCTACCTTCCTTCGTAACCCAATATCCTTGCTGGCACACCACCTAATTGCCACCTCCTTCAAGGCTCAGCTTGCTGGCACATGGGCTAGTGTCGGGCTCTGATACTATTTGTAATAACTCAAACCACAACTAGTATATTGTTTTCTTTGAACTTTCTCTTCCAATCTTCCTCTTGAAATTTTAAAACGTCTCTTAGAGAGAGATTTCAACACTCCGGTAGAAAAAAAAGAAGAAAAAAAAAAAGTTACTAAAGAAGTTGCTCACACACTTTTTGTCAGAGGGAGTTTAGAGTGAGTGCAAGTATTGTTTTTAGTAAGAGGGAGAGGGAGAAGGGAGATGGGGACGTTGATTTGAATAATTCTGTTAGTTGCTAAAAGCAAGCCATCGTAATCTGCCGACACAAAAATTAAAGAGAGTCCAAAACCAACTCATAAGCATCACAGCCATACAATATTACTGCTTCACTCATTCATACCTCATACAGTTCTCCAACTATTATTCAATTTCCCTTCTCTCTCGCTCTCTCTCTCGCTCTCTCTCTCTCCCCCCTTTGCTGTTGCTACCATGGATTACCAGCCGAAAATGGTGTCGGTCAACAGCGAATACGAGCAAGACGACTGTTCTAAACTCAAGTCCGAGCTTTCTTCCACTCTCGACGACGACCTCTGTTCACTCCAGATGACGACAATGGTATGTCATTTTAAACTCCATTGCTTTGTTTTTGTGCCTTTTTGTTCTCATCACACCAATGTTGAGCTTCATTGAATTCAGGAAGTTGATGGGAACTTGGAGTGGCTGTCAGCATTTGTGGAAGAATGCTTATCAGCCAAAGGAAGCAGCCTCCCCCTCCCACCCCCACAGCTATCCACACACCTCAACAATCCTCCACCACCACCAAATTCACTCTCTCACCCCATACCATCTTCTTCCGACTCGCCGTTCTCTCACTTTTCTGCAGTCCCCAGCAAGGCAAGAAGCAAGAGAAGACAGGCGCCTGCCAACACGAGCATTTGCCCTCTCATTGGTCAACACCACCTCGATCAACTGAACCTGCTGCCGAACAAACAGTCCTTACAGTTGACCTCTTCCTCTGCAGACATTCTTTTGCTGCAACAGACATATTGGTTGGCTGACAGTGAGCTCCTATTGCCGCATAAGGCTCGAGGAGGAGGAGAAGAAAGGGAGAAGAAGGTGGAAATGGATCAGAGAGATACAACAGTGAAGAAGAGTTTGGGGCTGCAGCAGAAACAGGGTGCAGGGAGTGGGAGGAGATGCAGCCATTGTCAGGCACAGAGGACTCCACAGTGGAGGGGTGGACCATTGGGACCCAAGACATTATGTAATGCATGTGGAGTTAGATACAAGAAGTCAGGAAGGTTGGTGCCAGAGTATAGACCAGCCAACAGCCCTACTTTTGTGAGTTTCTTGCATTCCAATTCACACAAAAGGGTTATGGAGATGAGAATGATCAATGCCTCTTCTTCTACTTCTACTGCCTTTTCCTCTTCTTAAAACCTACACTACTGGCCAACCATGCTGGAAGCTGCAACTGTTTGGTTCTTCAATGTAAACCTTCCCCTTTCCTTTCTACGTTAGAGTAATGAACTCTCGAGTACAAAAAGACAAGCATCTTTCTATTTCTTAGAGGTTTTACCAGAGATGAATTTAATTTTTAAGACCACCCGTGTATCAATTACTACTTGGACTACGTTAGTTACTGTAACAACCTAAGCCTACTGCTAGCAGATCTTATTCTCTTCGAGCTTTCCTCTCTAGGTTTCCCTTCAAAGTTTTAAAACGCATTTGTTAGGGAGAGATTACCACACTCTTGTAAAAGATGCTTCGTTCGTTCCTCTCTCCAACCAATGTGGGATCTCATAGTTACATTTCTTTATGGTATTCAATCAAGATGGATTCATTTCGTTGGTAGAAAATGGTTACATCCATTACTACCTCTTTTCATATGCTCTATTCCATCAAGTTTAAATGTAGAACAGATAAAGGATTCAACAAAAAATCTCAGTCAAGACTGTATGCATAGAACCAGAGTAGTGATTGAATAGAATCAATCGATTCATAGAGAACTTAAAAATGAGGTAAAAAAAGAAGGAGAAAAAAACCTACGAACCATAAGAAAAAAAAAATGAAGTAAAGAAGTAACAAAATGGGGGATCCATCAGAGTATCTACAGAAGAAATTATAGCAACAATGCAGTGAATAACAAGGCCATAGATGCTAATAAACTAACAAAAGAAGCAGCAAAGGACGGGGTGGAGGAGGAGGAAGCTATCTGGACGATGAAATTGCAAGTACCTTGCGAAAGATTCTGTGAGGTTATTGTGGCTAAGCCCTGAAAATTACAGGCCAGTTCATCTTGATCTTGCACCTGGAAATACATGTTAAATGCATAAGAAGCATTCCCATTAGCGTCCAAATTATTGCAAGAAGATCCATATCCAAGAGAAGTGCAATCTGAAAAAGTGCACGCATAATTTATGTTATCAGCAAGTTTACTGAGATCCTTTGCATTTGGATTGAACATACACCACTTCTGAGGAAGATACTGCACATCCTGAGCTCCCACAAGTAGTTTGTTTTGGCCCTGACCAGAAAGATCTATTGCAAACTTTGGCTGACCGTCGTACCCGAAAATACCCCAATGTCTCTCGAAGTTTCCTGGAGCAATGCTCTTCCCATTTTCATCCAGAAAACTGAACAAGTATACTTCAATGAATCCAGGCCTTAAAGGGGTGCCCTTATTGCCTGCAAGCCTTGGTAGAAGGCCATTGTAGAATCTATAAGCATTGGCAGCATTGGCGTTCTTGTCACCATCGGTTGGCCATCCGACCTCGCCAACTAGAATCGGCATGTCGCCAAATCCAACAGCTTTCAAAGACGAAACCAAGGTATCGAAGTTTGCATCAAAAACATTGTGGTACTGAATCCCAGTGCCAGCATCAAGTAAAGGATTACTTGCACCATCAAAGAAGGCGTAGTCGAAAGGGAAGTCGGCGTTGCCATAAAGACTAAGGAAAGGGTAAATGTTTACAGTAAAAGGTGCATTATTTTTGCTTAGAAACTGGACAATTTCAGTCATGAGTCCATTAATATCACTACGAAACCTACCAGCTGAGGGATACGAGCTATTACTCGGGGAGTTGTAGACATCAGCATTTAAGGGCACCGTTGCCTTGATGGACTCTCCAAGACCTGCTGCATTGAGTGCATTTTGAATGTTTTGAAGGGCTGGAAGGGTAACATTCAAGAATGATCCATTATAGGATGACAGAAATGGTTCATTGCCAACAGCAACGTATCTGAACAAGAACAGCATAGCAAAAAAGTGATAAATCTTCTGCTCGTAACCCCAAGACAAATCATCAATCTCAGATTGGTAATGAATAAATAAGTCCAAACCATCCCCCATGATTGCGAAGTTAACCAACTACATGCAAACAGGATTATGAAGGTGGGATGAGATTTGGAAGATCCAAAGAGAAAACAGATCAGGAATCGGTTCAAAAATAAATCAGAAGCATGGGAACGAACACAATAAATTTTGTATTATAGAGAGAGAAGGAAATGAATTACTTGATGGTAACTCCTCCATCAAAGTTGTAACGGGTGACGTTCCTCTGCACCCATTTCTGGGCTCGCTTGTAGTCTCCCATGGCGGAGAGTTGATCATTGGGAATAGCAACCATGACCTCGATACCAGTCCCAGCCAGAGCTCCCATGGTGGACTGATCTGCATCAAAAAGCTTCACTTTCTGAATCCCATTATCCTTCAACATGCGCACAATGGTCTTGGGTGGCAATTTATGATTGGCCATGGTTCCCCAGTTAACCCCAAGACCTTCCACACAGCAACCCAAAACCCGAATCAAAAGAACCCACTTCAGAAACCCTAATCTTCCCCCCATTGTCCTCCTACCTCTCACACGCCAATCCCAGATGAACTTCAAAAGGAGAGCAAATGAAAGTATAGATTATGGAAATGGGTTGAAAAACAAAAAAAAAAAACCAAGTTTATCCCTATCCAGTAATTTGTTGTTGATGGGGGCTTGGTAGAACCGAAGATCCAGGGAAATATAGAGGAAAGAGGGAGACGAAGGAGATAGAACAAAAGTGAAATACAGAGCAAAGAAACAAAGGCAGATGAGGAAATAGAGAGAAACAGAAGAAGCCCAGAAATGAAGGAAGCAGAGAGGGAGGAATGTAATGTGGTTTTGAAAGACGTGAAGCAGAGGAAGTGGAGAGTGGGAAGGAGGAGGAGGAGGAGGAGGCAAATTCAAAGATGTGGGCGAGTATAAGGTAAATGGGGCCAACCCCCAACGGTTAGAATTGAGAGAGGAAGAATCGAAATGGGAAACCAAATAGCGTTGGAAAGCAAGTGGTGAACCAATGGATGGGTCTGCAACGCCTCTTCCTCAGTAAGCACCAATGCCTCTGCAACGCCTCTTTCCCTCTTCCTCTACCGGTTACTGTATTTGGGGTTTCATTTACGTTACACCCAAAACTAAAAATACATGTTTCGTTTTCATTCTTATATAACAAACATGCTTCCTAACTACGCTTCTCCTTTTTAAGTTTATTACCTTTTAATTCATTTCATTTCATTTCTTATTGCCCCCACTCTACATTATTCACTTGCCCAACATATTTCCACTCAATTTTTTTTTTTTTTTTGTTTTGTTTTGTTTACTCATATGAATCCCATTATCTTCCTATCTTTTAACCTCTCATATTAAATAAAATTTTATTGTTGTTGGCCGTAAATGACAGGTAGAAATGAATAAATGTGATTGGGGAGGAAGAAGAGAAAAGGAAAAAAAGGAAAGGAGCCCCACTTCTTTTGTATTTTACTTTTAAAACACAAACCAGCCGTAAGATTTTGAAGAAAATGGGCGACGTGGCACCAACAAGGGAACGACCATTCAAAACCACAGGGGCGTAATCGTCATTTCACATGCGCCCATGTATGGTGGTCGGTCGCCGACACAAATTCTAAGTGACTGTATTTATGCATTATATAAATTTCCTGATGGATTTCATTTCAATCTAAAATCGCACGTGAGAGAGAGAGAGAGAGAGAGGGGAAGAAGTAAATATAGTATATAATAAAACTTTGATCAAAAGCTAAAATATTCAAATCCTCACCCCTCTCTAGGGAACAAAATCTTTAACATCACATTCTAACCCATATATTTTGAAACATTAAAAATTTGGGTCCTCTTCCTCTCAATTAATCTACAGATTAATTTGAGGTTCAAATATTCTCTTAAAATTATGCTCAAGTTTACCCCATAATTACAACATTTTATTTCAAAAATTCAAACTTATACCAGTTCTAATAATAATAAGCCACTGACTTTTGAATTTAGATCCATTTCAGTTCGACGTTAATTTCTCCTATTCAAAGTTATAAGGGAAACGAAAAATCTAAGCTTAAACCATGGGGACCGAGTTTGTAATTTAACGTAAACATACCAGAAAGTAAAACTCCTCCATGCTTTCCCATCCTTGCACCAAAAAGTTGAGGTATATCTGTGAAAAGGGTGAAGGCCCCATGTATTCACATGATAGACACATGCTTCTTAACACTCACTGCTGCTTTTACTCGTGAACATTCATGACTGGAAGTATGGATCTTCAAAAACAAATTCATTCAAAATGATTCAGATAAGTTGCCAAGGTGGAGATTTTAACTCATTTTCTCCTGGACTTTGTAAAGGTCAGATATGAGAAAAATACATAATACAAGGGAACGCCTTATCTTTATAACTCAACATGCATCATGTCTCCTTTACAATTAAAAAGGGAATGGGAAGTAAAAAGACTAAATCAACCTTTAACTCACTGCAACCTTGCCTGATATGGAACCTGAAAATGACAAATGTAAACCCAAAATAAAGATGATAGAACAGACCCCTTCATGCTATCAAAAGTTTATCTCAAATCAGTGAAAAGAACTCAAGCATCTCAACAAGAAATGAGACTTCACCAAAGATTATAATAATGTGCAGACTTCGGTTCTTTTCACCCATTGCCCAGTATATTTAATACAACAAGTTGTCAAGCTCCGGATACATTTTTATCTCTAGTTTCTGTAAAACGGGAAAAGAGTTAGAACTTCAAAAAGATGGCGGAAATTTTGAAACCTGGGAAAGCTTAGAATCACCTGATCACTGCCATACATCCTCTATATGTTGAGTTCATCTTCAAGGTAGTTATACTCAAAAGTGAACTCTGTTTTAATCCTTTGGCACCTACAGTACAAAAACAATTCAAATATAGTTAACATAGTAGTACATAATTTGAGGTGTGTAGATGTATAGAGTATGTTAAGGTTGTTTAATATATATTGTGTTTTGCGATCTAAAAGATTTTCCAAGATCCTCAACAACAAATTATTTCTTCAGATCATCCAAGATCCAGTTTTGCAAGGCTTAGAACTGCACAATAAAACACCTCTCTATGCAGTCAATTAACTTTTCACCAAAAATAGAACTGCATTACTATTTTTTTAATCGAGAATTTGGAGTCCTTTACCTATTAGAGCAAGTGATTGAGCTTGTGATTTCTTTTCTAAATCAACGGAAATGAACAAAGTCGCATCACAAGCTTCTCAATGTTCTAAATTTCACAATCATATTTTTATAGCAGCAAATCAGCTCATTACCATCTCCATAAGAGTAGCGCTAACCAGTTAATGTTAGAAAACAAAGAAGCACACCTTACATGCGCAAAAGGCAACAAGAGATGAGGCAGCAAACAAGATTAACAAGTAAACATACCATCCATGTTGTAGGTCATCATTATTAAAATGGAAATCGAAGTACACATAAGTTCCCTGCTCATATTCATCTGTAGCAATTTTTGGCTCTTCATGTCTTTGGAACCATGTCTGATATTTTCTGTGATATCTCCAAGATTGCTTCTTTAATTCTCTAGCAGCCAAATATTGTTGATAGGTGTTCTGCAGTTCAGCACATGATTAGACTGGATGTCAAAGAAATACAGCATTACATAAAAAGATAAAAGTAATACCGGTTGATAGTAAAATGCAAAGAACAATGTGTCAGTGCCATAGGTCTCAAGACCT